CACTAATAATCACCTCACTACTGGTCTTTAAAAATAGCCTTTAGATTTCTCTGTAGTTTTTGTGTGTACTGACCTTGAGATCAAAATGTTGAAGCGCTGTATTTACTTTTAATTTGTCTTCTGATTGTGTATCTTGTAGCTCCATCATATCCCACTGATCTTTCCTTTGCCAACATAGTCTCCCTGTTACTGCTCTCAGATTTAAGTCTTGAGTCTTCTGTCATACCTGCAGAGAGTTTAGCTCTTCCATTTCAATAGTTTGCCGTCTTGCCTGTGTTGTCCTGTGGTAACGCGTGGCTGTTGCTTCATGTGACAACATAGTGCACACGGCGAATACCCTTGACTTCTCATTTTGAAATCATTCATGTACTATTCATGTACTACGTACTAGTCGTGTCTCCACTGAGTGTAACATTTGCTAGTTTTGTGGTATATGTGTTTTATGAAGTTATTAATCACGTTACGGGTTTTTTTTTTTATTCAAAACCTTGAGGAAATAATTCACAAAATGTGGGTTTTAGAAAATATTCATCTCAAAATTGAAATAATCAGATCAGTTCTTTCTTTGTGGGTTCCTTTTGTCATGAGTTTCACCACAGCCCTCCTGAGGGGCCCAGTAAGGAGCAGAAACCCTGCTCACCGTGCGAGCTGCACAGTCCTCCTTGTCCCCCGCTGTGTCCTCACTTCGTCCGCCACCTTCCAGGTCTCTGCGCTGAGGGACAGCACACTGCCTTCTTTATGAGTGTAATCCATCTGGTTTTTGGCAAGCTCTCTGGCCTTTCCTCTGTCAGGTCCGTGCAGCCCAAATCCTGAAGCACCTCGCAGGATACTCGCAGAGTCTGACAGGAAAGGTGGAAATGCTGTCGCTTTATCCCTAGGGACAAGGATCAGAAGAGCCATGGAAGGAGGCCTTTCCCACCGGACTCGCACCTGGGGGAGGTGAGGCTGGGGACGCGGTAAATGGCAGCACGCTGGCCTCTGCGTTTCTTCCTCCTCCTCCTCCGCCCATCTGTCCTCTCTCCTCCCCACCCTCCCTGCCTTCCACATTCTGGTTTTGCTTTTTACTTTTTCTCATTTCTTTTTTGCCTCCTTTCTCTGTCCCTTCCCTTTGTTACTGTTTTTCCTAACTTTCATCCTCCTTTCCTCCACTTCGTACGTCATTGCCCTCCCTCAGGTCTCTCTGTCTCCCGCCTTGCGCTCTCCATTCGTTATCACTAGCGGCATCGCAGATACCTCTCCAAGCTCTCTGTCCATTTACTAAGTACAGATTGTCTTTTGCCAGCTTTAGTAAAGTATAACTTCCGGTTTGATTCACTCGCTTAAAACCATAGGTCACGCATAGCCGCGTCCACTTAGAGTGTCTCATTTTGCTCCCAAACAAGCCCTTCCTCCTAAGTCTCCTGTTTCCCCAACCCGTAGAAATGACCGATCTCCCATGTGCTTCCGCCCTGGCCGTTCCGCGTAGGTGGGTAATTCAGCACAGCTTCTGTGTCTGACTTGTTTGCTGACATTTCCAAGATGGATTTCCACTGTGGCGTTTATGAGAAAAATGGTTAATTTTTCTGAATGAATAATATGGAAAGCTTACATTTTTGTTTAGTCATCCATTTGTGGACATTTCGGTCATTTCTACCTTTCAGGTTTCGTGAACACTGAGTTGAAGTGTTGCCGTAAGGTGCGCTCCAGCCTGGTAAATGTGTCAGGTCACCAAAGCGGTTAGGTAGAAGTTTATGAAAGAAAAGCTCCTGAGAAGAGAAAGCTTGAAAGTGGGTTGCAACTGATAGTATAGGCTTTTTTTATACAGTACAGTCTAGGGGTTTTTATACAGTGAAATCACCTCAGGTGAAGCTAAATTCAACTGTTGTGTTGCAAGTGCAGTTGCTTAGTTAATACTGATCTGAAACTGAAACACCGCACTTTCCAAGGGTTCCGGGCACCTTCCTCCCACCGTGCTTTTCGCCATCCTCTTTGTGTCTTAATTCCCAGGGCATCATGGCCTGAATCTGGGAGTCATCAAATCTTCTCCTTTATGCTGTGGGTCTGGGCTGTTCTGCCCCAGTAACAGGAGGTGGGTGCGACACCCACCGTTGCCAGATTTAATCCGCGTTTGGAATACAGGGTCTCACACTCACCAGTTGTGACCTCAGTCCTGATCCTCATTGTGATGACAGTAAATTCCTGTATTTCTAACTACTTTTTTCACACGTAAAAGTCATTGTTCGGTGTTGATATGGCAGAAAATCTAAAACAAATTGAACATTACTGGTCGTGAGTTGCACTGTCTGAGGAATCATCATGCTTGCTAAAAGTCATTGTTAAATCCACATCATTGAAAGCAATAAAAATAAGAGAAAGTTTCCATTGGTGTGTTTAGAATGCCAAGAAGGAGGAATTACTCATTTTTGAAGAAGAAAATGGAGTCATCTTTCAAATGACAACTTTTCGAAGGCGACTGCATGCTAACCAGTAACGGATGCTCTAGTTAAAGTGGATGGTCCTCATGTAACCTCTCTAGGTATGAGTGAAAAGAGACATGGGTCCCATCTCTCGCATAACCCTTACAGTCTTAGATAGTTTGTAGACATTTTTTAAATCACAAAATGCTTATTGAGGTAACTTTTCATAAAGGAGCACTGCTGCAGTGTTTAAGAACCAATGTCTGTTTAGCCTTCCCATCAGTTGTTAGTTATAAAAGGGTTTTTTGGTCGGGGAGGAGTAAAGAAGGGGTGGAATGTGGGAAAAGAGGCCGGTGGAGTGTGGCCAAGTCAGGCCTTGAACTGGAAAAGATGTACCTTGAGCTCAAAATATTTTAGTTTGTCAATGAACAAAGTGTCTTATGCTGGCTAGGATTGGATACCAGTAAAATATCAGAGAACTAAAGGAAAAAGGAATTTTAGAAATGTTAGATTAGTAAGCCTTTTGTCACCGAGTTGTATAAACATCCATGGGTGAAATTGGAACTTAGAAAATTTTGTCTGCCCTTGTGGTGTGTTAAGGGATTAAGGGAAAAGCATTCTGTCATTGGATGGGTGCTTTGCTTGAGTCCAGGACACGTGCTCCCCTCTATATCCATTTGAAAAATGAGTAGTAGTATTAATAGTAGTGGTAGTAGTAAGTTTTAAGAGGGCCTCACAGTGTGACACAAGGTGAGGGTTTACCTCGTGATCCTGCTTTGTTTGTGACAGTGGCGTGGCTGCAGGTGTGGATCATCAAGCTCTTCTCCGGTGGGGTTTTAAAAATCGTGTCTCCTTGCCAAGCTCAGAGTCTTTGGTTAAATTAAACAGCATCAACTGTGTATTCATTTTCATGTCCAGGATGGTGTAACATTTGCCAGTTGAGAGTATGTGATGCCTTGTGTGAAAAAAGTCCTTGAATTCTTCTGGCGGTGTATGTCTGTGAAGTTTAGATTAGTTTTGTATGTGTAGTGCCATTTTTTAAGCATGATATTTCCCCGATTCTGGCATTGGAATGTTAAAGCTGTCACAAGTTTTTGAACTGCACAAATGTCTTTTTACTATAAGCCTCTTTGAGACAGTTGTCTTCATTTGTGTCAACAGGAAGGGTCTGTGCCATCCCGATATCTTCTGAATAGTGACTCACGGTGAAACACATCGTGTGCTTCCGCCTGAAATCTGCTTTTGGAGCTGTGCGCACCGAGACTGCGATCTCAGTCGTCAGAATCGTGGCAGCTGTGGGTGCTGCGAGTGTGCAGCTTGGGCCAGCTAGAGCGAGTTCCTTTTGGAGACTCGTTTGGTGCTTAGCTAACAACATACCTGGGTTCAGAACAGAAATTGGGGAAAGAAATAGGTCAGGATTCAAATGACTGTGGGTGAGTGTTGCTCTCTGCTCAGGATAAGGCCTACGTAATTAAAGCAGTTTTACCCTGGGAGGATGTTGAAGCGGGCTGGGTGGGATCCCAGATTCAGATTTCCTTGTTTCTCATGTCTGGCTCACACACTATCTGGGGTGAGACCCCCCGGGCTGCGTGGTCAGAGTGAGGGTGATGTGTAAGCTCAGGATGTGTTTAGCTTCTCTGTGTGGGTTACCCGTAGACCTGCAGTGAGACACGCTTCTCCCTGGCCTGCATCCGTTACTTCCCTGTCTTTGGATATGTTAGGATCTTCGATGTTGCTCTGTTGATTTATCTTCGAAAGTGTTTCTTGTAATTTTGAGAAGACTGTTTCTTCTGCACTGGTTAGAGGAAGCAAATGAACTATTAACTAATATTCAGTGAGACTACTGCTCCATCTTGGTTGAAGTATATCATGATTTTTGCGTTCTTGTTCCATTAATTATAGCTAGAAGTATTTTCATCTTCCAAAACATTCACAACGCTGAATTTCTCTTCAATTTCAATGTTTTTGCATCTCATTTGATGCTTTGCTAAGTAAAATATTTATTAAGCAGTATTAGTTCTTCAAGAACTGCGTTTTATATGATCATTTGATTATGACATCCTTATTTTCTTGTAGGTACAGATTGAGTACTGTCAGACTCATAGATTAGGCAAATTCTATTTAATCAGTGCTACACTGGTTTATATTTATGAATAACATTCCCTTTTCCTCGTATTTTCCTTTATGTATCTTATATTTGTGAGATTTGAAAAACATTTATATTTTCATTTACAGATGAAAATTTAATATACTTACAATTTAAAGCCTGATGTTTTGAAAAATTTATACATATTGGATGTAAAACTGTCAGATTGTTTCAAAATTCCATCATTTTTAAGTATATATATATTTTTTTTTTTCTAATTTTTTTTTTTTAATTTTTTGACTTTTTGAGACAGGGTCTCACGATGCAGTTCAGGCTGACTTTCTAGCCCAGGCTGGTCTCGGAAGTCACAACGATCCTCCTGCCTCAGCCTCCCGAGTGCTGGGACTACAGGCGCGCGCCACCACACCTGGCTTGTTAGTATACTGAATTTTTGTGCAGCTTTTTTGTTTTGGTTTCTGTTGTTTTATTTGTTCTGTTTCTAATAATTATGGATTTTCTCTCTGTCTTTGTTTTAATTGCATTTTATGTGGCTGAACTTTCTGTTGTCTCTTACGATGTTCAGTAGGATTTTGGCCTAGCATTTTCTACTTTTCCAGGGTGAGGCATATGTATTTACTACTAATCCAAACCCCTCTTTGAAATGTCGTGTTGTTTCAGGGACAGTCATGCACCCTGGTGTTGGGGACCGTGAATTATGAAGGGACACGTTCTCTGTGTGTGCCCCGCTTTGCCCTGCCTTGTGGGCCGGTCTTGGAATGCAGAAAGCCTGCATCCTCCGGGTCAGCACTGAGCTCTGGATGGTCAGCGAGGCTGGGAAGCTTGCAGAGCAGGATGAGGTCTGCTGAGGACAGTAGAGGGTAAGCTAGAACCCAAGGGTGGGATGACTCCTAACTTGTTTCCTTTATGATGCTAAACTTGCCCTTTCGACCTCTACTTCTGTGTTGCTCTAGGAGAAGCACCGTCCCCGCCCCCGCACTGGCGCGTGGGATGGCGGCCAGCTGGAGAGTCTGGGTCTTTGTTCCCAGAGAACACTGGTCCTCCCAGGCCCTGCTTCCTTGCAGTGTTTGTGTCTTGCTCCTCACCTTTCTCACCATTACGCCGTAACTCTGGGCAGGAGATTGGGGACTCACTGCAGGGCTCCCCTTAACTGGCACTGTGGAAGGGTCTCCGATACCTTGGGATACTCAGTGTTTCCTGTCCTGTGCACAATTCATGTCACCCATATTCCGGAACAGCAGTGCTAAGAATCTAGTAGGTTGTTGGTGTTGTCAATTTTAACATAACTTGTTGGTTATAGAACAGAATCTGTGGCAATAGATTCATTTATTCTCTGCATTTGGACAACTTCTGCGTAGCCTTTTCATAAGGTCTGCATCTTTACTAGGGTTTCATCCAAGTCCCATTTTGTTGCCTTTAGGTTCTTTGTCTCTGGATGCCATCACTTTTTGCACAACTAAGGTAACTGCCTGATTCTCTTTGTCATTATTCTGTCTATGTAATTATTCACTGCCCATTTTGAGATCTCTTTTGCATAACTTATGTGATTCCTTCCTGAGCCATATTTTCCTCTTCCCCGTGGTTTTGTCGCTGTTGTTTATTGTTCATGGGTGAACATCTGAGTAGTCTCCTGAGGTAAATGTCAGCATCACATCATCCTTGAGTAGCAGTTAGGGAGGAAGATTGGAGTAGCTGGAGTTGGGTGCCTCACTGCCTGTAAAGTTTTTGTGTGTAGAAATGTCCCCGGGGTGCAGGCTGTGCAGAAGTTCTTTCTTTCAGTCAGAATTTATTAAACCCAGGCGTGGTGGCACACACCTGTAATCCCAGCATTCGGGAGGCTGAGGCAGGAGAATCATTGCAAGTTCGAGACCAACCTGGCCAACAAAGTGAGGCTCAAGGCCAACTTGAACTGCATAGCCAGACCCTGTTGCAAAAAGACAAACAAACAAACAAAAAAAGAACTTATTACAACACCAGCATTTTCAAATTGTTTGCTTTTTCCCACCCCATTGTCGGAAACATGAAACAATTTCTTCCTGACGCTCACTGTGAAATCCTGGCAATACTTCATGGGGTAAAAGGGAGTCATTTTTAGGTCCTATGAACTGGCCCCAGGCACTGCAATACAGCAGTATTGCAGTGCTCAGCAATACAGCACCTTCTCAGCAATACAGCACCTATATCCAGTAGCTCAGCAATACAGCACCTTCTCGGCAAGTGTGAGTCCCTGGGTTTGATTCTGGTTCCAAAACTAAGCACTGGCCCAAGGGCTTTTCACCTCTCAGAATTTCATTCTTGCTTAAATCTCTTTTATTGGGACATTGAAACTTCACATAGCTGTTTTCTGCTCCTGATTTTCTGTCAAAAGAATTTAGACTTGTGTTAACTGCGCCCTCATTTTTGCAGTTTGAAGAAAATGGGCGTGTTTAATCCTTGTGGGTTTTGAGTTTTTGGCTTTGTTGTTTAGAAGAGAACCGCGCTGTGTGTGTCACTCTAGGTGAACTGGAAGGCTGATCTTTTGATGTTGGGGGCGGTAGTTGCCCTGTCCTCCCTTCCCTGCGTCCATTTGAAGGCAGCGCGGTCACACGCCGGGTGACCTCGTAGCCCCCGGTGGGGGAATGCGGGGCTCGGCGCTCCTGCCCACGAGCCCGGGCGCCGTGTGAGCTGGCGAGCGTGTGCAGGCGAGCGTGCGCAGCCCCGCCTCCCCTCCCGCACCCTCCCAGAGCTGCATTGGTGCTGCCTGTGCCCAGGCGCTCAGCTTCCGCACTGATCATGAGCCTCAGTCCCACCCGCGGCAACTTGGCAGCTGTGCCAGGTGAGGACGGGAGCCCCGAGACCGGCCTCATTACGTGGGCACCAGGGGCCGGTGTAGGAGACTGCACGGCAAGAGCAGCACAGACAGCAGAGCGGGTGAAGTCAGCACAGCACAGGTTTTCACGCCTGTGTGCCCCTGGGCCGGGCGGCCTCGCGGGCACCCTGGCTGCTGGCTGGGTTTTCCTGGGGTGGAGGCACGCCGCTGAAACTCCGAAACGCACTGCGCATCCCGACCCTGAAAGACCCTGACGGCCAGCTTCCACCCTGCTGTGGGGTTGAGGTCCGCCTCCCAGCGCTGGTGGCATTTTTCAAGCGTCTGGAGCTGACTGAGGAGGGAAGTGCCTCCTGAAGGCCAGTTGGCCTCCGGGGCCTCTGGGCCTCGGGCCACAGAACGTCTGAGGGCTGCAGCCAACCCAGGCGGGTTTTCATCTTCTGTCTGGGGTGTCTCGTCAAGCCTATCAGGACCGATGCCCTGTGTGCTGCCTTCTGTGGAGCTCCTCAGCCAAGCAGGGGACCCGACGGTTTCGGCCCCCCAGCAGCGGGTTGTGCGTTCCGATCCAGCCAGTTGGAGCCCCAGATCGGGTGGTTCAGGGCACGGTCGCAGAGCGCTCCCGAGGATGCAGCACAGGGCAGCCGTGGTCGTCTGCAAATCCTAAAACCTAACACACCCCCGTTCCTCAGGCAGGACGTTAGGAGAGAGTAAGGTTTATGCCGTCCCACCTGCGGTCCTGAGGTGGATGAGGTATCGGGCTGCATCTCGAACGTATCCGGTGTGTCTGAAAGGGAGCACCGCGCTGACGGATCCGAGGGAGGCTGCACAGGAGCGTTCCCTCCTCTCCCGCCCGCGCTCACGGTGGGAGTTGGGGAGCAGTGACGGGAAGAGGCAGAGCTGCAGCCTGGAGCAGGTCTGAGGCGGAGTTTGGGGAGGGGATGGAGGAGGGGGTCAGGTTCAGAGGAAGTGCAGGACAGGTGGAGGGGATCGCTGTCAGCCGGGTGGGGGATCTAGAGCAGGGGAGGAAGTGGCTGCAGCCGCCCTGCAGGGAGCTCCTCGGCGGTGCGGGGCTCTGGCCGCTGGGGCTGTGGGAGGTCGCCCGGGTACAGTAAAATCAGGTGGGTCCATCGTCAGGGAGAAGTCGGCGTTGGGGGGAACCGGAGGGGGCGCGGGAAGGAGGGAGAGAGAAGGATCTCAGGGATCGCATGCCGAGCGCAGGGGGGAAACTGCCCAGGGTGAACAGTGCCTGCACGTGAGGCGCCGCAGGCCGCTTCCCCGGCCTGTGGCAGCAGTTGTCCAGATCTCGCAGGACGGAGAGAGCAGAAGTGCATGCTCTGGCCGCTCGGTGTCCTTGTCTACCTTGTATTGTGGACGTGCTGTGGTACCAAAAGTTCAGGTGCTTTTCTGTCACATTTGCAGATGTTTTGGGGAGTGAAAGAAAATTTTCAATTTTTTGTTTAGTATTACTGCCAGTTAAGTTTGCAAAGTACTGGTGATTGGCACATTGCACATACATTTTCATCCTATGCATCCGCTGTTCCTCTCCCTTATGCCACCGTTCAGGTCTCTGACCCATAGGGTGTTATGGGTTCCTTAATCTGATGGCGTTTTGTACTACAAACTGTCATGTTTTCATTAGCGTTCCAAATTATCATTCATCAGTTTTGCTTAATGTTCAACGAAGGCTGTGTGTATGAAAGCAGGTAGAAGTGTAAAAGTGCTGTCGAAAGAGAGTCAGCGGGAGTCAATTCCCTAAATAACAAATTGAGAAAAATGATATTTTCTGACCCCTCACAGTAATTCTTAGGTATTTGCCTAGCTTACATTTTTCACTTGGATTCTAACATCCGGCCCTTGTCTGACCCGTGCTTTAGTGACTTGATACAAGTAAAACTGGGATTAACCAGCGGGAGAAGCAGAGTTCCCATTCTGCTGTTGCTTTAGCACTGAACTCCGGTGTAGCGTCACCCTTCCTGTGAGACAAGTGCAGATGGGTGGAGAACACATGTTTGATGACCAAAGTAAACTTTTGGAAAACACAGCCTTACATGAGCTTTTATGAGCTGAGATATTTCATGTTGTGACTCTCACTCTTTCTCCTGGAAATGCGTGTCTGGTGATGTAGGAGGCCGTGACCTTCGAGGATGTGGCTGTGAACTTCTGCAGGGAGGAGTGGGCTTTGCTGGATCCATCCCAGAAGGAGCTCTACAGAGATGTGATGTGGGAAACCGTTAGGAACCTGGCTGCCGTCGGTAAGGACGACGCCGTTCTCTCATTTATGCACCCAGAGAGCATTGGCTGGAGCTCACCAGCAGTTTCTTTAGTGGGAGGGTGTAAATGTAATGAGGCATCTTCCAGGCACGGTCCGTTTTACCATGAGTCCAACTGCAATCTACTGATTTTCATACAAGTAATATTTCACATTAGTAATTGTTACATTTCTGGTTCTGCACTTCAGGAAGAAACCCAGGTGAGCAGAAAGTTCAAGATGGGTACAGAAATTGCAGGAAAACTCTAAGGTAATTATGAGAAGAAAGTTCCTCAAGTGTCAGAGCGTGAAACCCAATCGAACTGCACAAACAGGACCATGTCCAGGTTGCTTTAACCTCACATTTCTCCAAGGATTTACACACATCTAGTACCTGTGATGTGCAATGACATATTTGAAACATTCCAGTATGTCAAATGTATGTCATAATGATATTATTCAAAAAAGTAACATTTTCGATTGAATATAAAATAACAGACAACCAGTTGTGCTGGCACCTGCCTGTAATCCTAACATTCGGGAGGCTGAGGCAAGGAAACTGCCACAAGTTCCTGCTCAGCCGGGGCCACATACTGAGTTCCAAGCCAGCGTCAATTTTTGAGAGAGACCAGGTCTCCAAAAAAAGTACAAATAAATTATGTTCCATGCTCAGTATTACGGATATATTGAATGAAATTGCATTTAGCCTTTGAGGACCGGTGTATATGAACCAAATACTGAGAGCTAACTTCTAATTATATATACAAGTGTTTTTGAAAGACCACCTTCATATCAAACAAAGTATATGTGATATTATATGTAATCCAATGTGATATACACATTCAGTGTTTGAAAAATTGCAAAGGTGGATGTATTCAAAACCCAAATGAATGCCACTGTTCTGATCACATTTCTTTGCAAGCAGACCTCCAAAGCACACCGACTGTCCGTGTTCCAAAATAGTAGAAGGTACAGCTGCATGTCGTCGTTGGGACTGTCAGTGTGGTGTACCATCTATGCACATGTGCATAGTGATTCCACAGGAAACGGAAAATTAGAAATTGCATCTTGTAATCATATTACAGGGGTCCATAAGTGCTCCTTCGTACCTGCATGATTAGCAAAGCTAAGCTCTGCAAAAAGCCTCAGTGCCCATTTATAGATGAATCGATGAAGGAACTGTGAGATAGCCTGTTCATAAAGAGGCTCGCTGGGGACCCTAGAACCCTGGCGAGCTCAGGCAGAGATCATGAATTCCTGCTCAGCCTGGGCAACGTAAGGATTACTGACCCCCTCCACATAAAATCCAAGAATCCCTTGGGGTATGTCAGTGCCAGCATTCTGGTTCAATTTCCAGCGCTGAAATCACGTGGTATGTACACATAATGGGGTAGTTCTCATCCACAGAGGAACAAAGTGATGTCATTTGCTGAAATATGGATGGCGCTAGCATGTATACAGTTAGATTAAATAAGTCGGAAATTTCAATCTCCTCAGTTGTATTTCACATGAGAATCCGCAGCATTCGTGCAGGAGTAAATAGAGGAGAGACGGAAAAGAGACAGGCAGACACTCTGGAGTGGGGGAAGGGGCTCAGTGGACGGAGAGGGGTGGGGTCATGGAGCAAAAGTTACCAAAACATGTCAACATATTGTACGTGTCTCATCAACAGGTGTTCCAGTTCCTCAGGATGAAAGCAAATATTGTGTATTACAAGCATGTCAGTTGCAAACTCCCTAATAAATCCTATGGCTTGGCCAAAAGCTGCTTCCCAGGCATCATTCAGAATGTGCAGTAAATTGATGATTAAATATTATCATGGGACATCAAAGTAGATCTCCTCATGATAAATCATTATCAAAAAGACACCTTTTTTTTGTCTTTTTGAGAGAGGGTCTCACTATGCAGTTCAGGCTGGCCTCGCACTCACTTTATAGCCCAGGCTGGCCCCAAACTCGCAGCGATTGTCCTGCCTCAGCCTCCCAACTGCTGGATTACAGGTGTGTGCCACCACGCCCGGCCCAAAAAGACACTTTTAAATGTGATTGGTTGTTTTGTTTCTTTTGCCTTTTACAGACGTGAAGAGGTAGAGAGATCATCTGAATATAAATTACGGTATCAGCGTGAAGAAATGGTTGCTTTGACTCCAGGTACAGATGTGCACAGGACAGCTGGTAGAAAACCAGGTGAAGGCCTTTCGTCTGGAAGGCCCCTGGCAGGTCATTCAGCAGCAGATGGACCCGTCGTGGCTAACAGTGTGCTCGAACCATATGAGCAGCAGGGGTTTCAAGAGAAGCTCTCTTCCTGTGATAAACATGGCAAAGCCTGCCCAGAACTGCAGTCCTTTCAGAAACAGGCAAACACGAGTCCTGGGGAGAAACTCCAAGAATACGCGCCATGTGTGAAATCCTCCTCTGATTGCGCTGAAGAAAGTACCATTGAAGAGAAGCCACTTGTATATAAGCAAGATTTGAAATCATTCATTACATGCAATGATGTTCAAATTGGGGAAAGAAGTTGTAGTGACGTGAATACGCATATATGTGTACCACATGCAAAAGATTTTAATTCTCACCATGATTTTCAGACACATGAAGGCACTCACACTGGAGGAAAAATCTACACGTGTAACCACTGTGACGAATCCTTGGCTAACAATTCATTTGGTAACTGTGAAGGAACTCACACAAGGGAGAAGCTCTACATATGTACGCAGTGTGACAAACCTTTCAGCACAACTGTTAGTTGTCAAAAGCGTGAACGGCCTCGTGCTGGGGAGAGACCCTATGTACGTAAGAAATATGGGGAAGGTTTTCGCAGACAAGGTAGCCGTCAAGAACATGAAGGAACCCACAGTGGAGAGAAACACTACGTATGTCAGCAGTGCGGGAAAGGTTTCGCATCACACAGAAACTGCCAAAGACACACACAGACTCACTCTGAGGAGAAGCCGTACGTATGTCAGCAGTGCGGGAAAGGGTTCCACACCCACAGTAACTGTCAAGTACACGAAAGGACTCACACTGGGGAGAAGCCCTATGCATGTAAGCAGTGTGGGAAAGCCTTCAGCACACGGGGTAATTGTCAAACACATGAAAGAAGTCACACTGGGGAGAGACCCTATGTATGTCAGCAATGTGGGAAAGCTTTCAGCATACGTGGTGCTTGTCAAATACATGAAAGAATACACACTGGGGAGAGACCCTATGTATGTAAGCAATGTGGGAAAGCCTTCAGCACACACACAGAGCGTAAAAGACATCTGTGGACTCACACTGGGAAGAAACCCTACATATGTAAGCAGTGTGGGAAAGCCTTCAGCACACGGGGTAATTGTCAAAACCACGAACAGACTCACAATGCAGAGAAACCCTTTTTATGTAACCAATGTGGGAAAGCTTTCAGCAGACAATATACTTGTCAAGAACATGAAAGAACCCACAGTGGGCAGAAACCCTATGTATGTAAGCAGTGTGGGAAAGCTTTCAGCATTAAAAGTAGTTGGCGTGTACACGAAAGGAATCACACGGGGGGAAAGCCCTACATGTGTAAGCAGTGTGGGAAAGGTTTCAGCACACTCAGAGATTGTCAGGAACATGAGCGGACTCACACTGGGGAGAAACCTTACGTATGTACACAGTGTGGGAAAGTTTTTAGCTCAAAAAGTTATTGTCAGGTACATGAAAGGACTCACAGTGGGGAGAAACCCTATGTGTGTAAGCAGTGTGGCAAGGCTTTCAGCACACACAGGAATTGTCAACTGCATGAAAGGACACACACCGGGGAGAGACCTTATATGTGTAAACAGTGTGGGAAAGCCTTCAGTAGACAATATACTTGTCAAGTCCATGAAAGAACCCACACAGGGGAGAAACCCTATGTGTGTAAACAGTGTGGGAAAGCCTTCAGCACAAAAAGTTATTGTCTAGTACATGAAAGGACTCACACCGGGGAGAAACCCTATGTATGTAAGCAGTGTGGCAAAGCTTTCACCAGACTATATACTTGTCACCTGCATGAAAGAAATCACACTGGGAAGAAACTGTATGCAAGCGGTGCGCGAAAACTCTCAGCAGGCAAGATACCTGACAACTACGTGAAAGAAGTCACCCTCATGAGAAACCCTGTGTATGTGAGCAGTGTGGGAAAGCTCCCAGTACCCACGGTCATTGTCATAGGCGTGAAGGAGCACACGCTGTAGAATGCTGCCTATGTAAGCAATGTGGGAATGCGTGCCGTGTACGGCAGTGTCATCAAATACAGGAAAGAAATTCTGCTGGGGCAAAAGACTGAACAATAAGCAGAAGTCTTGTACAGCACTAAGTGTCATACACGGAAAAGAGGGAGTGAAATACCTGGATATAGGAAGTGACTTACACTGACATTACTTAGCCTGTCAGGAACCTTTCCAGTAAACCTGTGCAAATAATGACAAAGTATGTGATGCCCTTAACATCAGAAAACATACAAATGTATACGTGTTACTGCAAATATAGAACATGAGAAATCTTCATCTTTACATGACTTTTTTATGAAACACGGCCTTGAACAGTGGAGAGTTCATGTCATTGTGTATTACGTGGGAATACCTGTAGTCATTTTGGTAAATTCAGATGGCAGCTAAACACAGTATTGTGGAAAGCCAGTAACAGAAGGGGTGTGCACAGGTCCTCAGTTGTCCTGCATGCATGAAGGAACATGCCACCAAATCCCTCCGAGTGTACTAAGTTTTTGGTTATATTTTTCTAATCGTTTTATTGTTTCTCATGTAGTGTACGTCTAAAAAGTAAGTTGAATAAACATGAGATGTCAGTTATTTCTCCAGGAAATACACAACCAGAGGAGATATCCCAAAGTATAAATACTGTAAAGAGCATGAAAGTGGATCACTTAAATATCATTTAGTTTTAAGAATGTGCTCACATCTCTACATTCTTCTAAGTAGGAGCACAGGACTTTAATATTGTCTCAAATTTGATAATTTATTTTGCACTGTTAGATCCAATCTTGGTAGTCTTATTTTCTAGGTCACTTTCGTTTCTTTTATTTTCTTTTGAATTTAGAAATTGTGGGATAATGAGTCCAAAACTGAAATTTCCTTAATTATTGTCCTTTTTCTACTAGCTTCTACTTAAAATTTTGCTGTGTACAGACCATTATTCTACCAAGAATTTTTTAATTGGATGTCATATTTTATAATTTCATTACTAATTTTGTACATATATTTAAAAGTTTACCTGTTTCCAATGAGTAAACTAGAAAATTTCAACATTCTAAGAGAACATCTATATAAATCCTCATGTAATTACACATTATAAGCAGCACATAATTTTGCATTTTTCTCTGCATCAAAGTCATTTTCATGTGTATACAATATTTTTTATCATTTAATTTCACTTTTTATGCTCATAATGCCATGGCTTCTATTGGTGGTAAATTTTCAATCAGCCATGCCAGAACATTGTGTATTTTTGTGAGTCCCCCATTGTCAGTAGCCGTGCCATATAATTTCTCAAAGAAGATGGACTGTCTTATAATCATTAATCTCCACAAGCTATAAATGTTGATAGGTTTTGTCAGCAGAATGTTCTCAGAGGAATTTCTGACGCTGTTGAAGTTTATTTTTTTTATTTATGTCTTGGTTACTTTTTTCTCGCTGCTGGGACAAAATACCTGACGCCCAAAATTAAGGAAGGAAAGGTTTATTTCGCTTACAGTTCGTGGAAGTTTCAATTCGTACTTGGCGATTATAAGGCAGAGTGGCACGTGGCAGAGGGCTGCATCTCAGGGCGGCAGCCACAGCTAAACTGCCACCACACACACACCACGGTGGAATCCGGGAGGAATCTCCCCAAGCAGCTTCCTCCTCTCCCTTACATATGCAAACTATCCACCCCAGGGCAGGTGTAGCTCTCACACCCATATTCAAACGCTAATAGCCTGCCCCAGGGCCACAGGAGGCTTGGGGGGGGACACACAGATATAAACCATAACTATTTATTTATTTTTTTGGTTTTTTTTCCAGTAAGAGAAATCGAACTCACAACCTTGCACTTGCCAGGCAGGCGCTGTTCTGCTGAGCTAAATCCCCAGTCCCTGAAATTTATTTTGATCAGGTGGTTTCTACTTTTGTAGTGAAGCAGCCTTTATTGTTTTGATTCTGCAAATACCATTTGTGCTTTGGAAATCAATTTTTGTTTAAACTGGAAGCTCAAACCAGAAAAAAGGAACTGGGAAACTTTTGTGATTCATTTGTGTTGTCCTTTATTACCTTTAGAGATAAGTGTACAGTGGTTTTTTCTCATCGTAAGTACCACTCTGTGATGATTGAAGGAAGAGACGTCACTTCCACCACGTAAGACTTGTGTAAGCTGTCAGTGAGACCATCTGGCACCCTTGACTTACTTTGCCTCCTTATTTCCTAGGACTGCAGTGCTTTGTGAAATATTCTGCATTGTTTTGTCGTTAAATTCAGTAGCTGCTAAGTCTACCATGAGATTGTATTCCAGTAACGCATGGTCAAAGCATAAGTGACAAATGCAGTAAATATTCTTAATATTGTAAACACTTTACCTCATCCTAAATTAATTATTCTTAGACAATTAAATTAGCCATCAGCTAAGCAATATAAAACTTTATTTATTTATATTGCTTTTTTGGAGTCACTGTCTCACCATGTAGGCCAGGCTGGCCCTGAACTCATGGCAGTCCTCACCTCCCAAGTGCAGGTATTACAGGCGTTCACCACCACACCTGGAAAAGTCTATGTCAATTTTACAATGAAGTATGAAGTGTCTCATGCATTATGAACTGTATGACGTTGCAGAATATAATATTAGCTTTTATATGCTTGAACATGCAGCTGTTTTTAGTACAGCTCAGTTGTTTTTGGTTTTTTTTGTTTGTTTCGTTTTTGTTTTTTGGAGACAGGGCCTTGCTATGCAGTTCAGGCTGGCCTTCAGCTCACTTTGTAGCCCAGGCTGGTCTCGAACTCACAGCGAGTCTCCTGCCTCAGCCTCCTGAGTGCTAGGATTACAGGCATGTGCCAGTATGCCCAGCCTTCATTTCTAATTCTTCCCATCATCAGGAAATTGCACGATGAATACTGCTATTCCAGCCAGATGGAAAGTGAGACTAGAGGTCATTTTATCCTGAGCATATTTATTTGATATCATTTTAGCATTAAAAAATCTTGCTGGTAGTTGATGGAAAGGAGCATAGGGAATGGGAAAAAAGGATCAAGCTATGGCATATTCGGGTGCAAATTCCCTATGATGAATGTGATCATTATCCCTAAAGTGTAATAATAAACATAACTAAAAACCCGTGCACCTCAGTGGAACGTGTGTCAAAACAAAATACAAAAGTTGTAGCTTAGTGCACTAACATTCTGGGGTAAACCCGCTGTTTTATCTGTGAGACCTAACGGCACATGCCTGTAATCCTAGCACGAGGGAGGCTGAGGCAGGAGCGTCGGCGTGACTTCTAAACCATCCTGGGCTCCCTAGTGAGTTCCAGCTGTCTATAAAGGAAAAACAACTTGTGTTTTGTTGAGCAACAGTAATACTCAGTGCTTAGTTTTTTTCTTCAGTTCTCTGTTTTGATGTACTCACTACTTACATGATTCATGTTTACTACTTCATTTCATCATGGATTCTTGTCTAAGTTTCCCCTTCAGTCTTACTAAAAATGTCAGCACAGAGAACACTGGTCTTCACCAGAACTGCAAGGCTCGTAGTGGTTATTTCTGCCATGGTGGTGGGCTCATGTTGGCACGTGTCCTCCTCATTTCCGACATGAGATTTGAATGCACTGCATTTGATTAATGATTGTATGCATCTTAGACACACTGAAGTCAAGCATGCCAAGACGTCTAGTGGAACGGCTACGCCAGGCTGGGTGAGCAGGTTATGGTTGTAAGTGTCCACATTAGGAAACAGAATGAGTCCCCGTAAATAACCTAATCATGCCCATCTAGATCCTAGACAAACCACGACACCACAGATACATAGTACATGGAAGGAAAGTAGAAAGATCACAGCAGAAATCAATAAAATGGGACCTATGAACTAGCACAAAAACAGGATAGATGCGGAAATAGCCTTTGAGAAAATCCAGTGTTAACTTATGATTTCCAAAAATAGTTATCATGGCTGAACAGAGGAGGAGCTTCCTTCTACGACTCAGAGAAACTCAGTTAACAGGTAAGTGGAAGGAAGGAGTGGGACATCCGGGAACCAAAATTACCTGAAGTAAGAGGTAACAGATCAAGCAAAGTATAGGCAAAGGCCTTAGTGAGATGGCCAGCCCGCCCTCCCAGCTGCTGGGGGGTCGCCAGGTTGTGGGCGGTGGCCTGCCGTCCTAGGAAGCTGAGAAGAAAATTTTAAAGTGGATGGGCTAAAAAGAGTGTGGCTGAGTGAAGGCACGGCAGATAGACTTGGGCTATGAGATACTGCCTCTTACGCCTTCCTCCAAAGAGAGGGTGCTACAGCCCAGCGGTAAGTTCTGCAGCACACACAGGAGTGTGTAAACTGCTTCCTCCCTGGTCATCTTTCTTCTTTCCCTTTTGTGTGCTAGAGCGCTAACGAACCTGTACAGACTAGATTAAAACCTCCAGGCGTGCATAGTAAATGGCTCAGCTAACACTTGTCCCGTGACCTGTGGTTAGAGAGGTTTGGGGAGGTAAACAGCCTTGTACGATGGGACCGCACAGCGCAGGGCTGTCCCCACTCTAGGAGCAGGAGCAGAAAGGCACCCCGCCCCACCTTGCCCAACAAGAAGGTACAGACTAGGGCCTGGGGATTTAGCTCAGTGGCACAGCGCCTGCCTGGCAAGCGCAAGGTCGTGAGTTCGATTCCCGGTACCGGAAAAAAAAAAAGGCACAGACTACAGTGGTGGCAGTGGATGTTGCAAATCAATGTCAGACTTGGGATACAAGATGCTCTGCCTCGTACGCCTTCCTCCAGAGAGGGTGCTGCAGCCCAGCGGTGACTTCCACAGCACACAGGAGTGTGTAAACTGGACAGTGACCGTGGAAGAGGGACAGAAGGCTGTGCAGGGACCGCGAGGGGCCACCGAGACATGGGCGTGGGAGCTGAGGGCAGCACAGCAAGTGGGAGGAGGATGCCAAGACACACAGGGTAGGGGTGGGCAGGCCACGAAGGGACGTACGGAGAGTACTGGCTGCAGACTCACCTCAGCCTCCCACATCTGCAGGCCAAGAGCTACTGCAGCACAGACTCCACGGCAGGCTCGGCAATGTCACCCAGTAGTTCTGGGCTCTTGGAGGACACCAGAGGACTTTTGTTTTTTATTATATTTTTTTCTTTGCCTTTTTTGTCTTTCACCTATATTTTTGTTCTAATCTGTTTGTCTTCTTTCCTTAGTTATCTCTCGACTTAATCATACTTTCATGAGTGACTTTGCTCCAATCTTTCTCGTTACCTTTGATAAGCCCGCACGTGCTCTTTCTTTCTTTCTGTTCTGCCCTCGTCTCCTTTTTGTTTTGTTTTG